CGGCTTGGTTTTTTTTTTTTTTTTTTTTTTTGCGTTCAGTCACAAATCGCCGTCGAGGTTACGGCGCATGCGTAGAATCTGTATAGTGCGCATGCGTAGTGTACGCTACTGAAGCACATGGGCGAGTAATGGCTGATGGTGTTAAGGTCTCGTTGGTGACTGCGAATATTATCCGTAGCTCTATTTCTGTGTCACAGTCATCAACAAAATGGCATACAGCCCTGGAAAATCGCCTTCAAAGAGAAAATCAGAGTCCGTGATCGGATATGTTCACGAATTATCGCCGATCAAGAAGAATAAATCCCGCACGATCGAGTACCATTCGCTGACGCTGCAAACATCGAGTACTCAACATCGTGAAGCCCTCCTGTATTCAACTCAAAAGAGTAAGTTCTTGGAAGAGAGTTTGGAAACCAGGACACCAGTGAAATTTCAGAACATTACGTACACCGCGGACGGCAAAAAAATTGTCATAAATGACATGACCTTACTCACCACTCCAAAGCCAAGTAAATACGACTTCCAATACGCAGACTTGGCGCAGCATGAGGACACAACACCAGTCCCGATTATCGACGTACTTAACAAACATAATCAATGGGACACTGTTACCATCAAAGGAAAGATTGCACAAATAAAGGATACCACAATCGTCGGATCAAAGAAACTGAGACTCTGCCAAGCACTGATTGCAGACAACACCGCAACCATGCCATTAGATATATGGGAGAACAATATCGCAACATTCAAACTTGGATCCATCTACATTGTAGCACCAGTCCAAGTGCGTGTTTGGTCACGTACCAAAAAACTCAGCACTATAGTTAAAACAACTGTGACTGAGACCACCGACGAAACTCTTTCAGACATCTCTCTAGTATCAAGCAAGCTAGACGAAAATGAACCCGACCTTGCAACGGTAACATAAAGGAAGTTCTACGAGTCCAGAGCAGCGACAAATTTCGGAAGTGCCTAAAATGCGACCGTAAGGTTCAAGATTGCTCTTCTCGGGTGGTCAACTGCCAAAAGTGTGGGAGCATGAGAGCAGATAAATGTAAATATGGCCTCACCCTAAAAGTGAAAGTCAAACTTAGTAATGATGAGGAACTTACCATCAAGTTCGGCGATGAATCACTAGCAAAAATCCTCAATGCCGAAATCCTAACAATGGATGAGGACTCTATCACTGAACAATTGCTGTTTATTGAAGACATGAAGATTACTTATAATGTTCACGCACATACCCTTGAAAATATCTTATAAGCGCATGACACTGTAGAGTACGGAAAATATTTGTTGTTGAGATTTGTTACCGTTTGTCACATTAGATCCAATAGAATTTGAACAATATTCATATCGTTAAACATATCCCTTATCTTAAGACCGTATTATATAGGGTCTGGACAATAATTACAGGTTGAATTAATTAAAGTCTTTGTAAGAGCCATATTCAAATTATTTAGAAAACTTGTCTTAATAAAACCGTTAATGTCAATAATATGAAGATTTCCTTGCTTCCGCGCACTGCCTTCTACACCAACAATTCCGCGCTCATGCTTTTCCTTCTGGTAAGGTCTTTTTTATCTTTTTTAAGAAAAACATTATTTACATATGAATTATACAACGTGATAAAGAGATACTGCTGGCAATTTAATATTCGACAAACATTATCTTTACGTTTTCTGCCGTCACCTGATACAGGGCCAACAAATCTGGTGTCAAATATCTTTGAGATTTTCACGTTGCTTAAAGACGACTTCTGTAGCGTTCGACTTTTACATAGCAAGATGTCGCAAAAAAGCCCGAGTTCACGCAGTCATGCGTCTAGTTCTAATTACTCTCATGTTATAAATTTCCTTTCCGGCAATTTTTTTTTATTTTATCGTATCCTGACCGCTTCTTTTTCTTAGAAATCCGTAGCCATTGTGTTGCCTCAATCATGTTTACAATTCTTGAACCAGGATATCTCCGAATTGACCGTTTTTATAATTTTCTTTCCTGTTAGAATATGTAAAGATGCACTGTATTATTTTCTATCCCTGGAGTCTTCCAGTCACCGGGATGCCTGGACATCTCTTTTATTGCTGCTCTTGAACAGACTTTTGAAGCTTGACGACGATCGGGTAAGATATGTTTGTAGTTCGTAACGAGAAGAAAGCTGAAGCGAGTTTTATCTTTCGAGTTTCATCTCGGGAGTCTCATCACGCGAGTTTAATCTCGCGAGTCTCATCTGGCAAGGTCCATCTCGCAAGTCCCCATCACTCAAGTCTCACCTCGCGAGTCTTAACTCGCTAGCCACATCTCGCGAGTCTCATCTCGCATAACTATCATGTCAGCATAACGTTTATTTTCTGTGTTTTGATCTCCACAGTTCAAGACCCACATTTCTCAGTATCACCCACTGCTGTGTAACATGCTCTTGGTGGACAGCAAACTGGAGCTGCGCTCCGTTCTCAGACGTGTCTTCCAGCGCGTAGGATCCACGTTTGGCATCTTTGAAATAACCGAGTCCAGTTGACGTGTCTTAAAATTCAACTCAATTTAATCCAAATAAGATGCTAAGACTTGTAAGAAGTTAAAACTTCCCTACGTAATTTTGAATTCTGAGTCGTTAATTCGTTTTAACAGCAAGCGCCAAAAGCTAAAATAGTCGATATATATCTGTCAGTACCGATGTCAATTAAGGACAGACCAATAAGAAGCCATTTGAGACGAGAAGTTGCCACAGTCATCCATGAGTATCTCTCTGAGGGGTGTACTTCGCATGTACTGCATAACTTTTGGTATAAAATAAAGGGAATTGTTCCACCGAGTTGATATTTTTCCTATATGAACAAGGTTGATTGAGAGTAAAACTCTCCGCTCTCTCAGATGAATGCACTCTGGAAGTTGAATCCCGCTTTGCACGTCAAAGTTGTTAAATTGGCGTTGCCTAGCGGCGTTGAAACAACTGATAATAGGATAATCTACTTTGTTTCGATTGTTACTAGTGAGAACGAAAATGAGAGAAAATTTTTCTGCATTGCTGTATTCTATTGGTCAAATTACAAAATGTAACCTACTTTATGATCAGTCCCGTGATGCAATTTTCCTATTATACTTTTTCTTATAGTCTGACGAGTAGTTACAACTCAATACAAGGTAATGTTTGCTAAGGGTTTAATTAGAAGTAGATTTTCTGTGATGAAGTAATATTTAACGTTGTATTAACAATTGTTACTTTTTATGTAGATTTTTACCTTAAGTCAAATTGGAAGTAACCTTGCGTAAATACTCCACAAAAAGGAAGTATTCAAATTTCTTTTGATGCGGCTGTATTCTCGAGCAACAAAAACGAGAGATTTTAGGATGCGCGTTCTTGTTTTGTATGAAAATTAAATTGAAGAAGTTCTCGTGAATCGAATAGTGGTACGAACAAATATCTCATTCCCTAGGCATTTAACGACCTGTATAGAAAGTGGAACGAAAAAATGTGAGATGGAAATTTCGTAATAAACACAATTTTCTGTACAGTGTCTTGGTAGTTATTTATTAATCTGCTTTTGTCGTGAGGACTCGAGTATAAGTCAGTGTACGTCTTTTTCATGCTATTCAGAAAAGAAAATTTTTACCACAATTGCTACCAATCTCGCAATCTGATTGGCTAATTTGTCGTTGTCGACAACTGATTGCCTATGCACTATCTATTCTATGCGTTCTATCACGAATACCGTCCTCTGATTGGCTACGTTACTCACGCTCTATTAAACAATTATATTATGAGCTCGAGATTTCTATCGCGTAATAGTTGACGAGGGCGCAGCCCTAGTCAACAATCACGCATAGAAATCGAGAGCGAATAATTTAACTGTTTTAGTATAAATCTACTAGTCGTTAAAAACTTTCATCTAAATCCTCTTCACAGACACTTCGAAAACACAAAGAAGCGTTACCCAGCGCACGCTGCTACGCTACTCACTATCTATCACAGATTAGAGTGCAGTGGCTTTCTGTCGTCCACGAAAAGGCGACCTTTTTTCGTTTTCTCGAAGTTTTGGAGGAACGTTTAGATGCAAATGGTAATTAAAATCCTAAGAAGACTGGGAGTATTTTGACTTTAAAAACTTGAAATCATAGAAAAAAAACGAGTGCGCGCGCATAAACAACTTCAAATTTCCAATAACAATTCAGTCCGTGCGATTTTGTTAAAGCGTGAAGTTTATAATAATACGTGGGGAAAAATTAGGGAACTGTTATTTACGATAATTTTAAATTAGAATTCTACTAAAACAATGAGCTCGAGATTTTTCGAGCTCGTAATCTAATTGTTAAATAGAAACACGACTTTAAACCAATCAGTGCGTGCATTTTACTTGGGCTATTTTCTAAATAATATGATCAATATTATGTTATTGTCAATATTATATGTCTGACCGAATTCGCAAAAACATGCCCACATTGACTCAAAGACAGTCCCACCGGCCAGAAGTCCTCTGACCAACCCCCTGGCTAGGAGATTGGCCCCTCGCGCATGCACGTGGCATGGACCACTCCAACAGGGTACCACGTCAACTTAGAAGCTTCCAACAAGGTTAAAAAACTGAGTAAAATACCCAGAAACACAGTCAATATCAAGGTTATTTAACACTGAAAACTCAAAGTCTAGCTAGCTGGGGGTGTTAGTGCAAGACATTGCATTGGGAGTGGATTCTTCGGTTCCTTTGACGTACCATGATCCGAGAGATGTTGGATTGATCTGTTTGGTAAGGAAAAGCAAAATCCGTTTTCGGATTCTTTCGGATTTAAGAATCCAATCTTGGATTTTCTTTAAGAAACGCTTAATTTTGGTCTCGAGATTCTCTTCTTCCCAGTTCATCTCCGCCGTGTCCGCTAGAGATTGGTAACGAGCCATTTCAAAATGGCGGCCAGGATAGATAGCTGTGGTTGGAAGAGTTTTACTTGATCTTTTGGCCGATAAAGATGAGAAAAGGCAGCGATTCTCCACGAAACTTTAAATTATAAGTTTTTTTTTCATTTTAGTCTCTTAATTCTATGCTCTGTGTCGTCAGTAAATCGGAAAGCAACATTTCCATTCGTATCACTTTATAGTGTGTATTGTTGTTTATGAATGAAGCTGTGTTTATTGTAGTTTTGTCTTTCTATTTTATACGCTTCAGCAGACGCTATGCATCACCTCAATAGACTTCAAGCGGAAATGCCTCTTTGTAAGTAAAACTGATTTATCGTAATCATGTAGTGGTACGAAAGATCGATCAGTTGATCAGGAACCTAAAGGTATCAAAATTAACGAGTCAAATGGGCCGTTCCATTTTTTATCCGCACCATCCCCCCCTCACCCTTTTGAGATACTAAGAAATCTGAGGGCAAGGGGGCACTTTGATCTTCCTTTCTTAATGGGTAAAAAATTTTCTTTTCTGAGGTGGTAAAATTCAAAGTACATCAATAGGGGGGATGCAGATATTTAATGCAATGGCCCAATGCGTCCTGATTCAATCAGTAAATCTTTCAAGTAAGCCCAAGTTTATACATCATGTTTCATCTCCAGAACCATAAACAGGCTGAGCGTTGTTCAGACTAACTGGAGTGTTATCAAACCCCTACGGACCCCCTCTACGGACTACCCCCCCAAAATAGAATAAAAATAAGAAAGAAATATTTCAGTTATGGGTTGTGTAATAGATTACTCCACAGACCCAGTCCATAGTGGGGTCTGCAGACCAGGGGTCAGTGTTTGAGGGTTACCCGAAATCAAGAGCGAATGATCTAATTGCGGCAGTAGAATTCTAACTTAATGACTCTTAGACTCATCTGACTAGCAACAATAAGGAGTTTTATAAACCTGCGAGCCAGCGAGCCACGTGAGCCAAAGGGCGAGCCAGTGTGAGCCATGCGAGCCATGCGAGCCATGCGAGTCATGCGAGTCATGCGAGCCCTAGAACAAATGTTAAGATTTTTTGTTTGTTACATTTATATTCACATGAGAACAAGAACAAGAGCAACGGAACAAAATGAATAAGATCGCAATATTAAATTCTTAGGGAAGAGACAACCACATGCAGCAGTCAGCCAACCGACAAAGTTTTGATAACTCTGATTCACTAAAGAGCGAACCTGTTAAAATTACGNGGCCCAGGTGTGGAACGTTTTGTTAGCGTGTTGTTTGATGTTATTGTAGTTTTAAACACTGGGAGATGTGTCGTTGTAAGTTTATCTGTACTATAATTCTATCACTGAGGCTGCTTCAGAGGTCTTAGGTTAGATATTTTCAAAGGTTACGTATTGAATATCACTGGTTTAATTGTATTTAAGTAAGTTAAAATTACTTACTTAAATAATTAATCTATATTTTGATGTGGAATTTGTGGAGTGAGGTTTTTATTAGAAATGTAGCACTTATCAGTCAAGTCAAGGGGTTGTATGGGGAAGTAAGCCTCTCAAGTACTGTTCAGGAGTGCAGCTTTAATGAGGGCAGTACTTAATTTGAGGACATATGATTATTTCATTTGTAGGCTTTATGTTCTTACTTCTACAAATGTACCAATATATACTACACTGTCCAGTACTTTAGGCATCTTAGTGAACAGAAATGCTGACTTTTGAATATTGCACTATAGGCTATTTCAACTGACATGTAATATGCATTTAATATCAATTCTACATTTTGAATGATGAACTTCTGGCTCTAATTTAAGAATTAATTTTTGCATTTCTTTTGCTTATGTCATGTTACAGAGGTCAGCACACTTGTTCAGCTATGGTTGTGCAAATTCTTCAAGGTAAAGTTTCATAAATTTTAACTTACAGTTTTTACCTACACGCAGACATGTATATCAGTTACCCGAAATAACTGATTGAAATAAGGTAATTAGTACTACATAATTTTCTTCGCTGATTAATATTATAAATTTGCGATTTGATTATTTTTCATTTTATTTCTTGTAGGTTGTGGTTTCCTTGTGTTGATTCTTATTCCGAATTGTGCACATGGAACATTGATGTCACAGTTGATAAAGACATGGTCGCTGTCAGCTGTGGAGACCTTACAGAACAGGTAGTTTGGTTAGTTAGTTCTGCACCGTAGTTTCACTAGAAACAGACAGCTGCTTGTCAAGATACAGCTTCAACCTTTACAAAGCTGGCTACATTCTAAATTACTTACTTCAGGTATAGATACGGCATTTTGCCTTTTTGTGTGTTAGTAGAATGTTGAAGAAATCATAACAAAATTCTGGAAGCAATAGTAGGGTTCAATTAGTTTGTTCTAGTCACTTGCAAGTGTGTCTTGTGGTAGTTCCATTCAACTGGGACATTGCTGTATAGTTTCTTAAGATTATATCATTGTGTTTAATTAAACAACTGCCGTAGGTTCCCCTCTCCCACAAAACCTTGTTTTCTTAATTCAAGACTTCTATGTAGCCTACTGCTAGCATCATAACCAGTTGTTCCAGTTATCACAAGGATGCATGGAACAACAAATCAATTTTATTAATTAATGACTTCACCATAAGCTGTTAAACAGGATTATTAGGTCACATGTACTGGAAATGATATAATGACAAGTTTCAGGAATAATAATAACGTGATAAGACCAAATAACAAAATGTATTTTGGATTTTTATGAACAAATTTACTGAGTTCATTGTTAATTCTGATCAGGTACTGACAGCTGATGAAAAGCGAAAAACCTATCACTACACACTGAGTATTCCTACTGCAGCTCCTAATATTGCCTTGGCTGTAGGGTAAGTTACTTTTCTTCAACCAGTTCTTATAATAAATTTATCTTATCAGACATTTTAGGGTAAAGTGTTGTGCACAGTATATTTGTCTTTGGGAATTTTGGTGGAGATTAAATGATTCATTGACAACATTTTTCTTTTAAAAATGGGAGAGCTTTTGAATTAGATGTGTTTTGCATTTCCCACCCTCCGCAGAACTAAAAGGATTGAAGTACTAAGTCTTAAAATTAACTTGTTTAACTGGTTTCCCGGGTGGTTTGTACCTGTTTTGCATGTTTTCTTGAGTTTTGGAGTGCAGTTGGATAACATAATCAGTAGTATAATGTCACACCCAAAATGACATTTAGCTTTCTTGTCTGAAGAGCAGAAAAAGGGAAATTTTTTATTCATCACTTTGTGCCATGTTGGTACAGTGTTCAAATTGGACTGTAAATTACCTGTATTTAGAGGAAGACAGTCAAAATGTATAGCTGGGTATAAATGTGGAAATGAACAAATATAAACCAAGTTGGACTACCATGAGCAAATAGACAGTTGTGCGTCATACGGGGGAAATTCTGCATACAAGCCAAGTCAGTGCTTATCTCTGGTTTCTGTAGCATGAGGTGACTGGGAGTACTTCTACTTCCCCCTGGATGGGATGCTAGGCCATTGCAGGGTTGCCCCCAACATTAAATTTGCTGGTACCCATTTATACACCTTGGTGGAGAGAGGCACTGTGATGGTGAAGTGTATTGCCTAAGACCACAACAAAATGTCTCCGGCCGGGGCTCAAACCTGGACTGCTCAATCTGGAGACGAGTGCACTAACGACAAGGCCACTGCACCTCCACTGTGTGTCATAAAGTCATGTGAGAGGTATTTTATTTTATTTTCTATTTCAGACCATTTGAGATCCATGTGGACCCAGTCATGCCAGAGGTAACACACTTTTGTCTACCTGGTCTACGCCCAGTTCTCAAGAACACCACAGCATTTCTCCATGAGGCGTTTGAATTCTATGAAGAATATCTGAGTTGTCGTTATCCATACACCTACTACAAGCAAGTGTTTGTCGATCAAGCTTATGACATCCTTTCGCCATATGCATCCATGACAATTTTCAAGTAAGTAACTGATAGCATGGTGCACAACAGGCCAGAGGGAAGGGGGGGGGGGTTACTCTTCAAAGTTCTAAATGGGGACGCTCCACTCCTGAGGTCCAACCCCTTACAGCCCCTTACTCAGTTAAATGACTTTGCTCTCCATGAGTAGTTGTAGCTCAGTGGATAGAGCGAGCACCTGATGTTCGGGAGGTCATGGGTTTGATTCTTGTCGGGGACTCAGATTTTTTCTTCGTCCCACGCTCGTGTCATGTTGATCAATTCACCTTTCACATTTCACAACCCCTTACCCTTTTGTATACCATTTTNGGGGGTTACTCTTCAAAGTTCTAAACGGGGACGCTCCACTGCTTAGGTCCAACCACTTACAACCCCTTACTCAGTTAAATGACTTTGCTCTCCATGAGTTGTTGTAGCTCAGTGGATAGAGCGAGCACCTGGTGTTCAGGAGGTCATGGGTTTGATTCTTGTCGGGGACTCAGATTTTTTCTTCGTCCCACGCTCGTGTCATGTTGATCAATTCACCTTTCACATTTCACAACCCCTTACCCTTTTGTATACCATTTTGACAGAATGGGTACTCCTTTTGTATACCTTTAATTGAAAAAAAAACCTCTTTCACATACTTTCATAACTGGCCTGTAGTATAAATAAATTGTCAAAAAAGGAAGTCTTCTTGTCATTTTCATGTAGTGCCTAAAAAGGAAATGTGTAGTTCCAGAAAATATCCATATCTTACCCACGGTAGGGATTTATTTTAAGACCACCTTCCCAACCCGTCTGGAAATTTCAGTTAAGCTTTATACATTTCTTTAATGCTTTTGGTTTTTGGTCTAGAACCCCCCACCCCCCAGGAAATTCCAATCCCTTCTGTGGGGTAAGAGTATGGATATTTTCTGGAACTGCTCAATAATATAGCCATAAGGTGCATCTGTTGAAAATGTTTTAGATAGTATAAAATATTTGAAAATGCTCTATTAAATAATTTATTTTAATCTAAATGACACATGTATATCTCAACTTATGAAATCCCTACCTTTTTACACACTTGAAGCTTGAAAACGGCACCCGTTTTGGGTGGAGCCTCCTCGTGTAGGCCATTATAGGGAGTACCCCCCTCCCAGGACAACAGAACAACAAGCAAAAATGAAGCTAGTGCCAGCTAATTCTTGGTGCTTTTGATTTTCTTTCCAGTACCGGTCTCTTGCACTCTTCAAGAATCATCGATCAGGGATTTGAAACAAGGAAATATCTCTCTCAGGCATTAGCTGAGCAGTTCTTTGGATGTTATCTCTGTATACAAACATGGTAAATTTGTAGCTTAGTTAAGCAGAGCTATTATGTAAACTGAAAGACCATCAGTAATCAAATGCTAATCCTAGGAAATCCAAGTCTTCTACTTCTTCAGTGTGCTTTTACTTTATGGCAGAGTAGGCTTACAGTTAATGTACAGTAGTGACTGATTAGAATTAGTTTTCTATGAGTGACCATAAATTAAATGATTAGGTGTTTGGTATTTTTGTTTAATAGGTCTGATTTATGGCTTGCAAGAGGAATATCTGGCTACATGTTTGGTCTATTTATGAAAAAGATGTTTGGTAACAATGAGTACAGACATTGGATCAGAGAAGTAATTGAACCCAACACAGGGCAATGTGTTTTTCTTTATTAATGGCTGATAAAGTCCTGAAAGTTACATTTACTAGACAGTTACTCAAACAACCTTGCTCTTTCTTTGGCAATCATTAGAAGAAATTTATTCTACTTGAACACTAATGCAAATGTTGCAATCTGTTTGGCTGAGTGATCCTACAGTATCAGCTGTTAGTTAAGTGTGCAGTGGCTTGATACTTTTTTTTTTGTTTTTCCAAAGTTTTGAAAGAACATTTTGATGCAAATGGGTAATTCAATTCCTTAGAAGACTAAAAGAAGAACATAAAAAGTTTCTTGACTTTAAAAAACTTGAAATTATTGAAAAAATGATGCATGTGCACACACAACTTCAATTTCAAATGACAATTCAGTCCGAGTGATCTTTCTAAGGCGCAAAGTTTTATACATCAAGAAATAATTGGAAACTGTTATTTGAAGTAAATTTCAGTTAAAATTGTATTGAAACAAAAAATTATTCGCTCTCGATTTCTTTGAGGTGATAGTTGATTTGGCCTTCAGTCCCATCAGCTATCACTTCAGAAATCTCAAGCTCATAATCTAACTGTTAGTGAGAGCATGTAATTAACTGATCAAATGTTTTTCCCACAGGAGTCAAAACAGGTGTGTCATTATGAAATGCAAGGCCCAGGAATTCCTCCCCTTCACAATACAGGATCATTATCAGCTTCGAGTGTAGCAGGCTCGTCCTCAGGTCAGACGCCAGAGTCCCCTTCTGTGGGTGCCCCACACATGCACCCTCACTTGACCTCAGGAAAGAACTTGGAAATTATCTGGAGCAAGTCACATCTTGTTATGAGAATGATTGAAATGCGCATTGGACAGGAACCGTTGCTACAGGTATGTGCACTCTGACAAATTTGCAAGTGAAAAATACACAATTGTAATCATAAAAATGCTGTGCGCATAACGCAAGGTTTGTGTGCAGTATCTACCTCTGAGTGGCAACAATATTATTATCGAACAACTACTGAAACCTTTAATGTTTATGCTACACGTCAGGTATTCAACAAACTGTTGTCCCTCGCTAACAGTGCAGCACAGCCCAAGGCTGACTACAGTCTCTGGACAAACCTTCTACTTTCCACTAGTGGGGTAAGGCTGTGAAAATATATTATTTGAAATGAACTGTCTGTGGACAATTAGGTGTAAATGAAAATGATCTTAGCACCCATGAAGCAAATTAGGGGGAAGAAGAAGTCTGATACTGGCCACTTCAATCCATATAATGCTATTACTGATATTTTACTGTTACATTTCATTGTCAGTTCCTTAAGTCCATATCAACAGTTTCTGGCAAAGACATCAATGTGTTTGTGGATCAGTGGATGTATCCTGTCAACACAGATGTTAAGCTCTCTACAGCTGCCACATTAGGGCAGAACAAACTGTCCAAATGTAGACATGTGCCCATTGAAGGGAGGTTTCAATAGAATTAGAGTGGATGATTCAGTATATACAGTCGAGGGGAAAAGCCATGGCTGTCATTGAGGTTGCCACTATAGTTAGCTGGCCACCATAGTCAGCTAAATTCAATAGCTCACTTCACTCACAGTTTTTCTTGTCAGTAGTTTTTTTTTTCACAAGACTGTGCAATCTCATAATTATCAATTCAGTATCAGGTTTGCACCTATTACAGGGGCGGATCCAAGATTTTTCTTAGGAGAGGGTGCACCACTAAGGAATGGCGTATCTGACTGGTGATGTAAACAAATTTTAAAGGCGAATATGAAGACTTTATCTTGGAGGGGGGGTGCACACCCCCTGCACCCTCCCTCTAGATTCGCTCCTGTATTAGCTCATTGTGGTTGTATAATCAACCATGAAACTGTATGTTCCATTATAGGTAGTCATACAGGTCACTGAGAATTGACCATTAAATGGCCAAAGCCTGGCTAAAAATAAATGATTATTTTTTTTTTTGAATCATGTGCTGTTATCTGAAGTAGTATTTTGGTTTGTTTTGTACTTAATTCCTTAACACACACTGCAGTTGTCATAGTGGTGTGGCCAATTTCCATGGAAGCTTTGTGTTTAACAGAAAGCGCAACATCGTTGAGCTTCAAATCAAGCAGGACATGTCAAGAGGCACAGCAAAATATGTGGTAAGATGAAAAACTTTTAAACTTAAATCTGAGTAAATAAACGTACAATCACAAGTCTTACTAATGTTTGGAAAACTTATGTGACTTTTGAGATCATCATCCTCTTTAGGGACCACTAACGGTATGCATACAGGAGCTGGATGGATCATTTAATCACACTGTACAGATAGAAGATGTGTACAGCCGCCATGAACTACCTTGCCATTCAAAGAGTCGCAGAAATAAGAAAAAGAAGATTCCTCTAATGACAGGAGAAGAGGTTGATATGAACCTTGATGCAATGGAGTAAGTACCAGCAATTACCTTCTTAATTAATGTCTGCCATTCTCCTCAAGAAAATAATGGTTCATTTGGATATCTTGTGAACTCTGCTTCTTATAACTCAGTCAACAACTTTCCTATCCAACTATAGGCCACATTAGACAGTGAAGTTTTAAAATAATTTGTTATTATATATTGTCATGCAAAATTCCATGCCAGAAACGCATGATTATTTGTTAATTCTGTAAATTAGTTCTCAATTTGGATATATACATGACCAAATTAGTCCTTGTCCAGTCTGGAAAAAATTAACTAGTTAAAAAAATTCCTGACTACCAAACTGGACTTGGCCTACATGTGTGACTTCTTCCAATTTTGGCAGTCCTCTAAATTTTTGTCACCGGATTTATTATTTTTAAGCTGCTTCAGAACATTACATTATTATACTAGTAATTATCTTTCTCTGTTTTTATTCACAGCTCAGACTCGCCAGTGTTGTGGGTTCGTATTGACCCTGAGGTGACATGGTTACGACAAGTTACATTTGAGCAGCCTGACTACATGTGGCAATACCAACTGAGACATGAGCGAGATGTCATTGCTCAGAGTGAGGTATCATTACACTTTAGCTCATCGATTTAAGTTGTCCTGGATAATATCAAACAGACTATTTTTACACCATGCCATAGAAAATACGTGTACAGCCAATCAGAATACAGAAAATCCACTGTATACTGGATGGTATTACACCAAACCTTCCTACCATGCACTGCATTGATTTTGTTATCTACTGCATTTTCCATGGCATGGTAGAAAATAATTAATATGCAAAGTTCTCTTTCTCATAGTATACATAAACAATAGCTTCCATTTGGCGCAAAAATATGCACGGATATTGTCCGCGGACATTATGTGTTGTGAGAAGTGAACAGTTTTCCGAGAGCGTAGCTCAAAGAAAACTATGAGCCATGAGGAACAGATAATGTCCAAGGACAAATATCTAAGCATATTTTTGCCCAAAATGGAGGCTATTGTGTTTATTATTCTTCAAATCTTTTTTGCAACACGAGAAGTTTTGAAATTTGGGGAATATTCTCAGATATTCCCCAGTTTAAGCTGGGGAATATTTGGACACATGACGTGTTAAGACCAATCGCATGTGAGCAAGAATATTTGATGGATTATTTTAGAAAACAGTCCTAAGAAAATTCGTGGGCTGCTTGGTTAAAAATCGTGTTTCTGTAACTCGATGGAAAAACAGAACTAGCACAAGCTGTTGGCCCTCATAGTCCTCAAACCTTGTCTTTAGGATTTCAACAAAGTTTATGGTGGTATGTTTAAATTTTCTTATTTTGATAAGAAAATGTTTCTTTTGAATATCACTTTTCTGATGCAGGCTATTTTGGCACTGGAGAAATTTCCGACTACATCAACTCAACAAGCTTTAATGGATTTAATCAACCAAAATGAGTGCTTTTATAAAGTGCGACTAGAGGCTTGTTTTTGTCTTGCTAAGGTAAGAGAACACACATGAGAGCTAGTAAAAACAAGGAATGCAGTCTTTGGTTTAAATGTAGTTGGTTGGGTTTACATCGTATACGCTGTCTAGTTTACCAAGTTCCAGTTGCTATGAAACATTTTCACACCTGAGGTGGCTCTTTATGGGGGGTAGCCCTCCAGCAAGCAACAATTTTCTTTTTCGTTTAAACACAGAACTTTTGAATTCATGGAAAATGAAACAATCACAGTAAAGAACACCTCTTAGGTTATTATTTTCATGCCTGAATTATTAGCAAAGAGCAAGAAAGAAGAGGTTGTATACTTTGGTTTAGCCAGTGTCTAGTAGATTGCATGAAATTACACTTTTCAAGTAGCCCAGAAAAAAATGAAGTAATGGTTATATTATAGTGATGTTCAATTTTGACAATAAGGGTGTTGGATTTGTTGTGTATTCTAGAAACCTGCCATTACTATGGGGCTTATTTTTTACGGCATTCTTTTGTTTTGATCTATCATGAATGCCATCCTTTTCATTTGTACAGATTGCTACAGCATGCGCTTCCAGTTGGACAGGTCATACAACAATGACTGGGATTTTCAGGAATATGTTTGGTTCACAATCTTGTCCACACATTGTCAAATACAATGATTTTTCAAATTTCATTGCCTATTTTATACAAAAGGTTGGTTTCAGGGATTTGAAAGAATAGAATAGAAGCTTTACTTTATGAAAATAGCAATGTACTTACAACTAGTGTATGTTTCAAGCAAAAGTGGAAAGCAAAAATTCTGCTTAACTTTGTAACTCTTGTACTCTTTGTAACTCCGGTGCCATACGTGGGTTGAGTTTGTTGTTAGTTCTCCACTTGCTTCAAGGGTTTTTTTTCTCTGGGTTCTCCGGTTTCCCTCCCGGCACAAAAACAAACACCTCCAAATTCCAATTCAACCATGATAGAGGACCTACATGAAAACCAGATAAGGCTGATGTGGCTTGCTCTCTAAATGAAGTTTTGTCATTAATAAATATTTTAATTTTACTTGCAACAAAATTAATATGTTTTTGTGTTCTTTAGACCTTGCCTGTAGCTATTGCATCAGTGAGAAATGGTCACTCCCAGTGTCCTCGTGAAGTTTTGCAGTTTATCCTGGACTTAATCAAATACAATGATAACAGGCTTAATAAGGTATCTGAACATGCTAGCAAGCTTAGTCTAAATTAACTCTCACGTTTACAGTGACCACACTCAAACCACTTCACATTTTCTAGGAACGTTTTTTCGTGTTTTTTCCATTTGAGGTCTCTTTATATAAAGAGAAGGATTTAGTGTTTTTATGAAGTAAAAGCACGAATTCAAGTTTTGTCTATACAAAGAGCCCTCAACTGGATAATTTCCAAGAAAACGTGTGAAGTGTTCATTTCTCGAAAGCCCTCACTGTCTTGCCTTACTACTACAACATTTTTGTTGCTAATCAAAAATGCTTGTTTAGTGCTGTTGAATGCATGAATGGCTATTTTATGGTCACTTGTAAATTTTTATTCAGTTTATCGCTTACAACACATTTCTTAACAAAACAACAAACTGCTTTTGCTAAACTCGTCAGCATCCTCATTCTTGCTGTGCCACGGGATGCACAAGGCCTCAACTCTAGCTACACCACACCTGTATGTACTTACTCATACTTCCATAACTTCTCTTGACTGCAACATGTTCAGTTACAATGTGCTACATATATCCTTTCAGTAAATCATATTGCATTGTAATGGTGAAATCAAGCAACAATATATAAGAAGAAATTATGATATAGAATATTAAACCCACCCCTTGGATCGGCTTGTCTTTTCTACTAATTTTGTACTATTATTTAATTTTGTTTAGTACACTGACAGTCATTACCGCAGTACCCTCATTGATGCACTGGCCAGTACTGTCACACCTGGTGTCTCCATAGTAACAACAACTAGGCATGTACATGTGTCCATTTGGTTTCTCGATAGATTTACATATGCTACGGACTGCATTGCTGCATTGCCGACCTATGATGATCCCGAATATACATAGGTCTGCAGAGCGTGCAAAGAAAAACAGTTACGTAGTCCTTGCACGAATTGCCGACCTACATAGCTCTGACCTACATAACTCTGACTATAGGTGTGGTTCTTCTGCACATGCTGCTAGCTTATGATACTTTGTATTATAGACTTGTTTCAATTCCAGCTTACAACCTTTTTTCAGTTTCTAATTCTGTTTTTAATTGTTGTTTGCGTCAGTGATGGCAAGACGGTTGTCAAATTAACAGAAGAAACACAACTCATTTTAGGAGAAGTGACTCGTCAACTGAATCTAGAGAAGCTGCTTCCCACTTACAGATATGTCGTGTCTGTCAGGTGAGTGTGGACTTTTGATATCGTAGACTCACTCACTCACTCACTCACTGCCCATCATGCCCACTGGCACACTAGGCAGCAACAAAGGACCTCCACAACTGTCTGTCCCCAGCCAGCCTTTGGGTGTAGCTCCAGCTGTGGCCCAAGCTCATCATCTCTGTCTCTATAGTGCGTCGCCATTTATTTTGGGGTCTGCCCCACTTCCACCTGCCCTCTGGTGTCCAGTGGAGTGCAGTCTTAGAAAGAAGGTCTCTCTCCCTCCTGGTAACATGACCTATCCTGATGACATAACCTATCCATCACTTACAGATAACAAAAGAGTGAAGCCTTGTATGCATCTAGGAACAAATAAAGTTAGTAGAGTCATTCACAGGGCAGATTTTCGTTACTTAAAAGTTTTATTCCAGAACCAAGTATTTTACTTGGGAATAGTGTGATTAGCCAAACATAACATGAAATATAAATGCGAAACTGCAAGGTTGAGAGAAAATCAACTCGCTGCAAGTGTGGGACAGCAGTAACTGGTGTCAAATAAACAAGAAATCAAGAATGTGTTCAGCCTCGAATCTGATTGAAATAAATGACAATCTTCACTGTGATTGGTTGAATGATGCTGTTTGTTTTTTTTACCCCAGCAAATGTAAAAATAATTCTATCAAAACAATCGAAGAAAACTAACCAATGATTTTATTTTTTTTACAGTTGTTTGAAGGCTCTCAGAGTATTACAGGTTAATAGTCACGTGCCTCCTGACCCTGCTGCGTTTGAATATTATGCCAGGTAATTTTGTTAACGGACTTTCTGGTGGTAAAATGTTCCAGTGGAGGGTTCCTACAAGAGCTGTAAAAATTCCATTGAGCACATGGGGCAGTTACAAGTCAGTAGTTAGGAGGAAGGCGCTTGTTCGAGATGAGATGATTTTTTTTTACCTCGACATCTTTGAATTTCTCAAACTACAAACCGTGTACGTGGCTTAAGCTGGCCTTAACTAACAAAGCAAATCGCCCTCAACTCGAAACTTGAGTAAACTAGGCAGACTTGGTAATAGTATTTGAAGACAACATCATTTTCTTAAGTTCGCTTGTTGGAATAGGCTGGGGGAGGCTCATTAGAATGGGAGGTGAGCACTCTACCGGAACTAGGGTGCTACGTTAATGTTCTTCACTTTATTTTATTTTTATTTATTTTTTCAATTTGATTTTTTTAAATTAAATAAACATTTATTTAAAGACAAAACAATTGTACAGGACTTAACTCACATTACATTACTCCTCTACTTATTACATTACTGGACTTATTGCATTAATCTACGTATTTCTTACATCATATAGCTTGTAAATAAGTTACTCTGTTCATTTTACTACAACAATTCGACGCGCTTTGAGTATTGAATCACTCTCAGTCATTTTTGTAATAGAATTACGCACTCAGAATTTTTTTCTGTTCAGTTTTGGTCACTTTGAGGATGTGCGGCTAGCAGCCATTGATTG